CTAATGATGCATGACATACAGTTGTGAAAGCCTAAAGAACTATGTGACACTAAGAGTGAAGTCTAACAAGAGACAGAGAAGCATCGATCAGATGCTCAGAACTCAGAGGGAAGGCAGGGGAGGGTGGGGGTGAGGGGGAGAGGTCAGCCAAAGGACTTGTATGCATGCATATACGCATAAGCGATGGATGTGGACAACAGGGGGTGAGGGTGAGGGCAGGATTGGGGGGATGAGGGGACATTGGGGGGATAAGGACACATTTGTAACATCTTAATCAATAAAGGGGGAAAACTTAAAAAAAAAAAAGAGTGGAGCCTAACATAAACTATGGACTAAAGTTAATAATAATAACAACAATAATAACAACCAATATTGATTCATCAGTTGTAGCAAATGTGCCACACTAAAGCAAGATATTGATAACAGGGGAAACTATGCATGGGGAAGAGGGAGTTTATAAGAACTCTTTGTATCATCCACCCATTTAGGTCACATTCAGGTATGTATCTAATTTTTTTAAATTGTCATGGACAGTTTCACTGCTGGATATATACACAAAATAACTGAAAGGGACTTGAACATGTATCTACACGCCCATTTTTCACAACAGCATGATTCACAACAGCCAAAAGCTGGAAACAACTAAACTGTCCTGCTGGATGAATGAATGAACAAACGTGACACGTACATACAACGAAATAGTGTTCAGTTTTTAAAAAGGAAGAAAGTCTGACACGCACAACCCTGAAGATGTTATGCTAAGTGAAATAAGCCAAACACAAAAAGACAAATATAGTCAGATTCCACTTGTATGCAGTACCACAGTGGTCAGATTCATAGAGAGTACAATGGTGGTCGCTGAGGCTGAAGGGAGGAGAGAACTGGGAGTTAGTGTTTAATGGGTAGAGTTTCATGTTGGAAAATATGAAAAAATGTAATGTCACGGAACTGTCCACTTAAAAATGGTATAATGGTAAATTTTATGTATATTCTGCCACAATAAAACATTATAAGAAAAAGTGCTGAAAAACTGATGATCACAATTAAAAAATAAATTATATCTCTTTATTATACCATCTAGAAATTTCACACTAAAAGTAAAACTTTTTTTTTTAATCCTCACCTGAGGATATGGTTTTTTTAGAAATCCATTTCAGAGAGAGAGAGGACGGGAGAGTGAAAGAGAGAGAGAAACACCGATTATTTGCCTCCCATCTGCGCTCTGAACAGGGATCAAACCCGAAACCCAGGTAAGTGCCCGGACCGGGAATCGATCTTGCAACCTTTTGGTGTATGGGATGACGTTCCAACCAACTAGCTGGGCAAAACTTATTTTTTTAATTTTAGAAGGACATAAAAAAATATATAATTCAGACCCTGGGATAGAGAAAATTTACTTAACAAGATCACACACACACAAATTTAATTTAAGGGAATTTCTTTCATAAATGTAACAGGAAAATTTAAAATGTGCATACAACCAAAGACACTGTGAACAAAGGGAAAAGGCAAGCCTCAGACTGGCAGGATGCATTCGCAACACATACACCCATTAAAAACAAATTAGTATCCAAAGTAACCTCACTGTCCCTGGCGAGTGAAGGCTCCGTAAACGGTCAGTTCAGTCTACCACTGAACACTGTGCGGCAGTTAAAAATAAATGAACCAGCTCCACAGGTAGCAACATGGTTAAACCTCCACCAATTAAAATTTTAAATGTGCACCCTCTTGACCCAGCGAGCCTCCCTTTCATTCACTGCAGCCATGTCTGAAACTACGGTACCGCACACACTTCGTGAGAGAGTGCGTAGTGGTCAGGAAGGGCCAGGTAGATCCCTGTTTCAACACGGAGAGATCTCTGATGTTCTGGTAGAAAACAAGCTGCAGAACAGTGTACAGTGTCGTGTCGTGCATGTGGGGAGCATGGGGAAAGCCTGCTTCTGTCTGCATTACCTACACCAGTATAGAGATGGAAATGCACAGAGACAGGTCAGGAAGGAGCATAACAGAGTACAGCTTTGGTGGAGAAGGGAGTGGGCCCAGGAGGCTTTCATTCTGTCTGTACTGTCGGTATTTTCTCAGAGTGCGCCCTCAGGAGCCATCTGCACAGCTGCAGCCCCAGCCACACTGACTGGGCACCATACAACCCCAGGAGCTGCCGTTCGCAGGGACTCTGCTAGGAACGGCGTCTCCGAAACCTGGGCCGTATAGATCCTGCGCAAGTAGACACCACAGCCCTGAAGCTTGTGTAGCTAGAAATAAATTAAACAGGGGGGTGAAGTGAGCCCCAGCCAGGTGGCTCAGCGGGTTGGAGCATTGTCTGCTGTACCAAAAGGTTTCTGTTTTGATTCCCGGTCAGGGCACGTACCTGGGTTTTGGGTTCCATCCCCGATCAGAGCTCGTGCAGTAGGCAACCAATCCATGTGTCTCTCTCACACTGGTGCTTCCCTCTCTCTCTCCTCCTACCCCTCTTATCTAAAATCCATGATGTCTTCTGGAGAGAGATAAGTTTCTATATCCTGATTGGGATAGTGGCTGGACAAAGTATGCATATTTTTAAAACTCACCCACTATACACAGGTATCTATGCACTTTATTATATGTAAACTACACATCAATAAAGTTGATGTTAAAATAAATATGAATTAAATACATAAATAAAACACAATTATCACTGGGAGAACAAAGCTCCTGAAATTACAGGACCCAAAACGGAACTGGCAGACGCCTGCTGGAGGCACTCTGAGGTACACAGCAGTGAAACTGAAGAGATATCAGCTCTTCAAGGCTGACCACACGACGCCAAATCTGGATTAACATGACCCTTATTTTTTAACACGAGGAAACGAAGGCCCTGAGAGATTTCCAGAAAGGGTATAAAATAGAGGGTAACTTGCCATTCTACCGGTTAGAAGTCTAGTTTTCTAAGTAGAACTTTGTCTCTCACACTCGGTGGACCCTCAAGAACCTTGTCAGTTCTGCTTTGACTCTATAACCCCCTTCAAAGGTGACTCCACTTACGTGTGATAAAAATCCTCATAGAACTCATAAAAGGTCAAGTTTTGATTTGGCAGACAAAGTAACCGAACAGGCACTGCAACCCAGGGAACTGAAACGGCAGACTGGAGCGGGAGAGTCTAGGAATCTAAGCAAGGCAGCCTGCGCACAGGCAGGGCTCCAGCCCATGCAGGGGCTTACTACAGACCCACAGTCCAAGAACCAGGACAAGAGTAAAAAACAAAAAGTGTCCTCTGGACAAAAGTGCTCTTCTTCAGGTGGCGGAAAAGAGAGGAGTGGAAGCCATGGCCCCAGGAGTAAGTTCTAACAGCTAACCTGCAATGAAGGTGTGAGAGCAGCAGCATGGCTACCAGAAAAGGCAACTCCATCACCGCAGCCATTGTTTTAAACGCTCAGACCTGTGAACCCCGGTTACCTTACATGGAAGAAAAAAAAAAGGGGGGGGGGTAGAGGGAGCTTTAGGAACAAGGGAAGTCCATCAGCCACCCCCACCAGCAGAGTGATGAATGCTGCTCTGTGCAATGTACACCAAAACCATGCTGGGTTCATTCATTCACACAATAAACATTTCTTGCAGGACTGCTGTTCTCGTCTGTCGCTGAGAAGTTAGCTAGCAGTGATCATGGAGCCCTTAATAACAGTTGGGAAAGAAGGAAACTTCTTTTCTCCTTTCAAATTTTTAATTTTTCTCTCCCTTTAAATGTTACAAGAGCCTCCAAAACTCTCCTAAGTTGCTCCCACGAGCTCCCTGGACCCTCCTGCTTTATCCCCAAACCACGCCACGTATGGCTGCAATCTCCCCATCCCGGGAGGAGTGGGGGGTGGACACGAGACCTAAGGTGAGTAAGGTGTGAGACAACATTCAATGCTGCTTTGTATTTTGTGTTCGTAGCTTCACAAACAAATGGTTAGCTCCTACAGTAAATTACGGTGTGTTTGACACTATTTTGTGGCCCCACTGCCGACCACGGCCCCCTACCCACGGAGGCTGGCTAATCAATAAACGCCTGCGAAGCATGCTGGAGGTCTCCCTCACCCCGAGGCCTGGCACAGGCACCGAGCGGCGAGCATTCGTCAGCGGCATCCTCTCCCCGCCAGCACTTTCCTTCCACGGGTGACACGGTGCACGGGGTCGCTGTGAGGTGCCTCGGGAAACAGTGTTTGGGGGCGATCTGAAATAAATCCCATTCCCTCTGCCAGGGCCTGTCTGCCTCACCTGCCCTCTGCCAGGACCTGCCTCCTATGCCCCCTTGAGCGCCTAACGCAGAGCCCGCTCCCCGGGAACAGGGCTCCAGCAGCATCAGCGCGGCGCCCGCACCCGGCTCCGCACCGACGGCCACGGCGCGCCCGGAACTCGGGAGACCCCCTCCCGGGCCCGGGGTTCGGAGCCCGGCGGCGCCGGCCGGGGCTGCACTTCATCCCCTCCGCGCGCCCCTCCAGGGCCGTGAGCGCGGAGCCGTCTCCGCTCGCAGCGCGCGGTGCAGCGGCCCCGGCTCCCCGCGCGCCTCCCCGCCGCGCCCGGCCCTGCACCCCCGCGGGCTCCCGAGGTCGGGGCGCTACGCGGGCTCCTCCCGTTCCTCGCGGGCGCGAGGCTCCAGCACCGCGCACCTCTCCCGCAGCCGCTGCCGCCGCGGACCCCCCCTTACTCACTTCCCGGCTGGCGCAGGGGGAGTCCAGACGGTCTCCGCGGCCGCAGCCTCCCCCGCCAACCTCCGGCCCGGCGTCCGCGGCTCAGGCGGCGGCGGCGCCCGCTCAGGCCCTGGAGCCGCCCCCGCGACGAGCGTCCTCAACTCCCGGCTCGCGCCGCTTCCCCGCCCGGCACGCGCAGCGAGCCCGCCCCCCGTGCGAGGGCGCGAGGGCGCGAGGTCTCCGGGCTGCAGGCGGGCACGCGCCGCCGCCGCCGCGAGCGCGCGATGGGGGCGTGGCTTCCGCCCGGGGAGGGGCGGGCCAGCGGCAGGGCCCCGCCCCCTGCGGCCCGGCCGGCCCGGCCCCCCGCCCGTCTCCGGGTTCCCTGCCCGCGGGTGAAAGCTGGCCCCCCGCGGGCGTCCCCCGCACCCGGATCGCGGCCGCTGCGGTGCGTTTCAACTCTGCACGGATTTGCCAGGCCGGCTGGATGCTCCGCCCGACGTGACTCCCAGGTAAAGAATGCGAAGCACCACCCGTGAATCATTCATCCGCGCCTCGGGCACGCTACCCTCCCCGGAATTATTTTGCCAAATTAATTCAGCTCTGCAGGCGTTTCCGGAGCACCGACTGGACAGCCGGTGCTGAGTGGGTCCACCTTCGCGGTCACGGTCCCTGGTCCCGAGGAGCGCATAACTCAGTGGAAGAGCAGCCGCTCAACAACGCCGTGTGCTGACCCGTGCAAAGCCGAGCGCGGGCAGGGGAGGAGGAGATGGCTTCCGCTTGGATCCAGGGGACGGGTTCCTGGAAGAGGAGGCATTTGTGCTCAGCCCTGACGGGAGAAAAGGGAGGAGGCGTAGGAGACAAGGCCGAGGGCATCAAAGGCTGGGGAAACAGCGTGGGCAGAGGAAGAGAGGGGGACCACGGTTCACCACCTCAGCATCCACTTTTTTCTTGTAATCGTATCCATTTTTCATAGACTCCTTTCCAACCCATGTGAAACATAGATTATTCCACATTAGGAACAGCGAAGCTTTTTTCATGACTCAAAGAATCTTTTTCTCAACGTTATTTAAGGCTGAAAAAAAAGCAGTGTCCTTCGAGGGCTGTTGTATGTGAAGGATGTTACATCCTAAGCGGAGAGACCCAAAGCCAGTGTGCTTTGCGCCTGGTTTTTCCCTGCTTTTTGGCACCTTATGATAAGGCAGATCCTGCCACCTCCTGCTGCCTGCCTGCCTTCAGAACACCCTCTTCCTCCTCGTCCTCTTCCTATTTTAAAACTCCTACCGCGAAGGAAATGCTGGCAACCAACTGTAAGGGAGAGTAAACACCGCTCAGAGAAAGGTGTCACCTTTCACACAGGAACTTCGCGACCACATTCCTGCTTGGGAGGCTTTTCCGCTTGTACGCTGGCCTTGACTGTGTTCTGAATATGTTAAGATACTCAGAATGCAGGTAAGAGACCTCTTGTGTATTCATTTACCAGCTTGGAGCACCCGTTGGAGGAGGCATCGAATGGGTCCTTTGGAGAAAAGATGTCTATTTGATGTAAAATAAATATGTAAACATGACTTTAAATATTTAAATGTTCACCCTAGTGATTGAACCCAAAGTAATGTCAATATGTGGGCCAGACTGTTATGAACCATTCTGGGAACCGACTACAGTACGTACACTCACGTTAGCATTTCCCCATCTCTGTTCTGCATCTCATTGCCTCTCATGTGCGCGGAACACTTATTTCAAACATATTTCAATCCTTTTCTCCCCTCCCCTCCTTTCCAAAATCATCAACTCCTCCTTCCTACTTGTCCCATTCCTTCACCATCTATTCATGTTCAGGCTTTCCTCTCCTAAAGGAAAAGGAAGAAACCCCTCTATCATTCCAGATTGTGCTGTAAGTTCTTTTACAAACACCTTAACGCAGTTTATCTCTGCCAACTCCGCTGCCCCTCACTCCCCACCGCGTGGCTCTGTAGCTTTTGCCCCACCACAGGACTGCACTTCTCTCCGCCGTGAATGGCTGTTTCATCCTGAATGCCCGCCGGCCACTTTTGAGTCCTCTGTTTCTAGAGTTTTCCATGGTATTTGACCACACAGAGCACGCCACTCTTTTTGAAACATCCTTTGCCTTCACAACATGACTCATCTCCTAACCCCTCTGACCGGTCCTGTCTCCAGGATTCTGGAAGCCATTGGAACAGAAAACCACCCAGCCGAGCCCTACCCAAATCTCTGACTCCAAAGAGTGTGACGTTATAACTAGAACGGTTCCTAGTTTAAGTCGTTCCTGTTTAGGATAGGTAGTTTGTGATGGAGTCTGTTACCCAAAATATTTGGCATCAGACTTCTCGAGAGCAAACCAAGGCAGTAACGATGCAGCATTTTCTGAAGACTCGAGGGAAGAAGATGCAAGATAAGGATTTTATACCCATCATCCATCATGCTGTTTTTTTCAAACATCATGGGCTATAGAAAAAACTTTTTAAAATGCAAGAATTCCAAGAACTATGCCTATAAGCCCATCCTAAGTACTACAGCAGGGGTCAGCAAATTCTTTCTAAAGCACAAAGATAGTAAATATTTTGCTTGGCAGGCCTAACTCTTCAACTCTGTCATGGTAGCACAAAAGCTACCATAGATACATTGCAAATAAGTAGGTGTGGCTATGTCTCAAATAAACTGAACTGACCAAAATAGGCAGTAGACTGGATTTCGCCTATGAATTGTGGTTCGCCTCTTCTATACTAGAGGAAATCATTTCTCTCAAAAAAGCACAAAGTCCATATGATTTAAGAAACACATACTATGACCACATGGGGTTTTATGTACTCGTGTGCTAGAACTACCATAACAAAGTACCACAGACCAGCCTAAAGAACAGAAATTTTTTCCTCACAGACTTGGAGGCTGTTGACAAGATCAAGCTGTGACAGTGTTGGCTTCTGCCGGGACCTTCTCCCTGTGTCTTCCCCTGGTCTTCCTTTGTGCTGTGAGAATCTGTGTGCTAATCCCCTCTTCTTATAAAGACACCAGTTATATTGGAGCAGGGCCCACCCTAATGGCCTCCTTTCAATTTAATTATGCCTTTAAAGACCCTATCTTCAAATACAGTCACATTCTGCAATACTGGTTAGGACTTCAACTACTTAAATGTGAAAGCTATAATAATAAAAGTCTTAGGGAAAAAAAATACATGTAAATCTTCATTACCTTAGGTTTGGCAAAGCCTTTTTTTTTTTTTTTTTCAAAGCCTTCTTAGATAAAACATCGCAAGCACAAATGACAGAAGAAAAAATAGACAAATTGTACTTTATCAAAATGAAAAACTTCTGTCCATCAAAGGACACCATTTAAAAAGTACCAAGGCAGCCTACAGAATGGGAGTAAATATTTTCAAATAGTGTATGTGATAAGAAACTCATATCCAGAATATATAAACAGCACTACAATTATAAAACGAATAACCCAATTGAAAGTGGGGAAATGATTTGAGCAGACGTTTCTTCAAAGGAGATATATAGATGGCCAATGAGCACATGTAAAGATGCTCGACATGGTTAGCTATTAGTAGAATGTAAGTCAAAAATGCAATGAGATACCACTCCACCCCCACGAGGGCGGCTATAATGAAAACTACAGACAATGTGTTGGTGAGAATGTGGAGACGTTAGGGTATCGATACATGGCTGGTAGAAATGTAACGTGGCGCAGCTGCTCCAGAAAACAGCTGCAGTTCCTCAAAATGTTAAACACGAAGATATCATATGACTCAGTAATTCTATTTCGAGATGTATACCCAAGAGACTTGAAAATATATGCCCACACAAGAACCTATGCACAAATGTTCATAGTGTCTGCTTCATAATAGCCAACGATGAGAACAATCCAAAACCCCATCAACTGATGAATGGATAAACAAGATGTGGTAAATCCATTCATACAATAGAATATTATTCAGCAATAAAAACTAATGGAGCCCGTGCTATAACATGGATGAAATTTGAAAACATTATGCCAAGTGAAAGAAGCCAATCAAAGAAAACCACATATTATAGTATTCAATATAATACATGAAATGTCCAGAATAGGCAAATATTTATAGAGACAGAAAGTAGACTTGTGGTTGGAGGGGTTGGAGAGATTAAAAAAGGACTACTAATAGGTATGAGGTTACTTTTTGAGTTGATGACATTGTTCTAAAGTTGATTGTGGTGATGGTTATACAACTTGGATACACTGAAAACCACCAAATCGTACACTTTAAACAGATGAATTAAGAGGTATGTGAATTGTGTCTCAATCAATGTGGTTCTTTGAAAGTGGAAAACTGTAAGGCAATCCTGAAAGACACAAAAGGATACTTGAACAAGACATTGGTTTTGGTTAAAATATCTTAACATTGTAAACATGACAGTTCTCCTTATGGTAATTTATAAATTTAATATGATTCCCCCCCAAAAAATATAAACAAAATTTTCTTCCGTAGCTAGATAAATTAACACCAAAGTTCATATGGAAAAAATAAACACTCAAAAATGGCTAGTAAAACACTGAAAGGGAAGAAGTGTGAGAGGTGACTGGCCCTAGCAAATACTAAAACATACTACAGAGCCTCCTGAATGAAAACACGGTGTTTCTGGCACAGGAACAGGCAGACCAATGGAACCAAATAGAAGGTACAGATAGCAATCCAACCACATGTGCAAATCCACTATCTGCTAAGCAGTCAAATGGCTGAGGCAAAGAAGGACTTTTTTTTTAAATATACATTTTATTGATTTTTTACAGAGAGGAAGGGAGAGGGATAGAGAGTTAGAAACATCGATGAGAGAGAAACATCGACCAGCTGCCTCCTGCACACCCCCTACTGGGGATGTGCCCTTGACCGGAATTGAACCTGGGACTCTTCAGTCCACAGGCCTATGCGCTCTCCATTGAGCCAAACCGGTTAGGGCAAAGAAGGACTTTTTGATAAATGGCGTTGAGGCAAACTGGACAGCCATGCACAGCCTCTCTGTGTTGGTGACATTATGGGGGGACAAATATTACCAAATGGAATGAAAAAGGAGCAGCCCCTGGGGAGGGGCATTTGGCAATATCTAATGAAACGATTCGTACATTCACCTCTCAGCCCAGCACACCAACTTCTAGGCATCTACCCAAAAGGTCCCTCCAAAATAATCTGCGCTCTGACTTATGGAAGCTCCTGCATTGTACCATGACTTGCATTTGCAGAATATTGGAAACTACCTAAATGCCCAAACATAGAAGACTAGTTGAATAAACTATGATCCTTACACATATTTGACTACTAGAAAGCTGTAAAAAGGAGTAAAGAATATCTTTATGGATTGAGAGATACATACTGGAAATTGCAAAATAGCCACAGGGATGCAAAGTACTACATAAGAAATAGAGTCAATAATATTGTAATGGCTATGCATGGTGCCAGGTGGGTACTGAAAATATCGGAGGGAACACTGGTAACGTATATGAATGTCTAACTGCTATGCTGTGCACTTGCAACTAATACAAAATAATATTGAATATAAACTATAATTGAAAAAAACTTTTAAAAAGAAAAAGAAATAATGGCTTTGTGAACTGATATATAGTACTTCCCAGGGTATGTTATTAAGCAAAGTACAAAAGCAAACATATAGCATGTTACCTTTTGCTTATTTTAGTAAAAGGAATCACCGTGAGTCCCCAAGGTCATGTGTGACACCACGTTTGGCCAGGTAGTGGCTGCCAGTGCCAGGAACAAAGCTGGAGAGGATGCACAGGGCTGCGTGGGAGGGCCGACATCTGCCAGCCGGGTGTCAGCTGAGAAGCAGGAAGGTCGTAACTGCTCAAGGAAAATAATTTAACGAAGCTGAAAACCCATTCCTTGAAGTCAGGAATCCACTGCACTGGCCCCCAACCCCCCTACCCAAAAACCTTAATAACGTTTCTATTAACCTTAATAAGGTTTTAAACCTTAAAACCTTAATAATGCAGGTAAAAATACTGGAAACTAAATACCACGACTTCATCCTTGTATCGAATGATGGTAAATTGACACCAGAATGTGTGTCACTCTGTTCTCTGGCGCTTACAGATGACACGATAGGACTGGAAAGGGTCCAATGGAGAGTAATTAACATGACAGGCAGGAAGAGTATTCTTTACAGACTGACAAGCAAAAAAAAAAAAAAACAGACTGTGGCCTTCAGAGAAAGATGAGAGCTTACACGTGACATGCCAGAGGTGTGCGTAGCCGCAACACAGACGCGGTCACCAAACCTGGCGATACCAGCAGTGAGGGGTAGCTGCTGGCGGCCGGAAGGGGCGGATCTGGGAGAAATCCACGGGAACTGCTCTTGTGCACAGTGGGTAGCAGCGTGGAAAGCGTTGCCCCCAGAGGCTGGCTCCCTGGTTCTCAGTCTTGTCCGAACACGGAAGGAAGACGACACAGATGGCAAGCAGGGAGGCTCTGGATGGGGACAGGGTGGCCAGGAAGAGAGGCGGAGCTGGGACAGGAGCCTTCTGAGTCCCTGTAACAGTTTGTGGAGAGGCTGTGACACGGCGCATGGAAAACCTT